CACTTTTTGGAAAATAACTAGATATTAACCTCTTCAAAAATACTATTTCTTGGGCGCGCCTAGATGAACGTGTTCCTTCGAATTTTGCAAAATAAATGCAGAAGTGAAAAAAATTATTCACAAAATTCAATCCATTTTCATGGATTTTGTATACAAAGCTTAATATATTTTATTGAAACCAAAAACGGATTATACTCGATTATAAAAGCTATTAGTGGATTGTTTATTTTTCGAAAGAAATCGGTTAAATTGGATCAAAATTCCATTACATTGTCTAAATATGCTTTTATAATAGATTACATAAAAAACCTTTTTGTCAAAATATCCATTATAATCGATGTTCATCCATGAAATTACAGTGCAGATACGAAATGTATTCCAATTTTTACTATAAGACTATCAATAACTTGTAATAATCCTCTAAAATCTAAATTATTTTTGATCCTTCTCCTGATTAGCTAGTGACTACAAATATAGATAGTAAAATGTGGCCATCAGCGATGCAGCGTTTTGGCGGGCGGCAATGTTAGGCAAAAATTATATTAAGCGAGAGTAAATGTGTCAAATTAGATGAAAAATTTAAGTAAAAAAGTATTTATTTTAGTAGAAACTGTTTGTGATTAATTTCTTGATTCCATTGCTACATACAAACACACGTTAAATTCTTCAAACTGCAAATCAACATTAAAATAGTGACCACTGCAGTCGCGCTAACGTGTTGCGAGCTTGCCAACAGAGGGTAGAACTCTTTAGGAAAACTAGAGTCGATTATCGCCGCGAAATGGCGACGCGCTTCTAGCGCGCCCACCGGCGACCTTGAACCGACAAGCGGATTTATAGTCTTTAACCGCTTCTTTTCAATTTCGTCTGGAAAATTATGGGATTTTTTGCTTAAAATTACACTTTTATATTCAAATCTTTTGCCTGAGTTTAAACTTTTTTTCGCCTAATATATACAAATCCAACAACCAAAAAAGGCGGACCAGATCAGTAAGTCGCAAACTTATAATTCAATTAGCCAGGATGACCTCCATACCCCTAAAATGCTTACCATACAATTCCATACAAAAAAAGTGTGAAAAATGCTAGTCATAAAATTTTCTTAAAATTTCGAAAAATGATTGATAAAAGAAATAAATTAATTTCTAGGGCTGTTTGATTCTAATACAACAATCTGGTGAGAAAAAACAATATTTTCTTTTTTTGGAAAAATGCCTATCATACAATTCACATATATGGAAATTGTATGCCACCTATTTGTTGATGGCGACAAATTTCATACTGAAAATGCCTCAATTTTTTTTGTTTTTTTGTTCAACCGCAAATCAGAAACCGCAAATCGCAAATCGGACACCAAAATAGTACAAAGTCAAAATAGTACTACTGCCGGTAGGGGTGTTTAAAGTTGGTTCAGTAAACAGTTCGGGAGTAGGTGGTTTGGGTTCAAACGTACTGAAAGAGTGGGTAACCTGAGAGGAGAGATTACGTGCAGGAGATACGTGGGGTGGAGGGTTCACGTGGTTTAGGACGTTGGGGAAAAAAGGTGTGAAAAAAACTGGTCAAAAAGGCCGTTTTTGCGCATTTTTTGGAAAATTACTAGATATTGGCTTCTTCAAAAATACTATATTTTGGTCGCCACTGGATGAACGTGTTCCTTAATTTTTGCAAAAAAATGCAAAAATTAGAAAAATAACTCACAGAATTCAATCCATTTTCATGGATTTTATGTACAAAACATAATGATTTTATTGAAACCAAAAACGGACTATACACGATTATAACAGATATTGGTGGATTGTTTATTTTTCGAAAGAAATCAGTTAAATTGGATCAAAGTTCCATTACGTTGTCTAAATATGCTACTCTTTTGGATTACATAGACAACTTTTTTGTCAAAAATATCCATTATAATCAATGTTTTTTCATGAAACTTCGGTGCGGGTACGACATGTATTCTATTATGTACTATAAGGCTATCAATAACTTGTAATAATCCCCTAAAATCTAAAATATTTTGATCCTTCTCCTGATTAGCTAGTGTCTACAAATAGAGTCAGTGAATTGTAGCCATCAGCGATGCACCAATTTGGCGGGCCGCCACTTTAGGCGAAAATTATATTAAGCGAGAATAAAAGTGTTGAATTAAGGCGAAAAAATTGATAAAATTTATACATTGTTATTAATCAATTATATACATTTTAAACATTTAATTTTGAAATTACCCCAAATAGTTGTTGTTTTTCCCAACCGCAAATCGATTTTCGTAAGCAAACGAATTTTTTACGAAAAAAAAAATTGCAGGCAAAATTTAGTTTTTTTTGTTTGCTTAACGTAGTCCTGTATACACTAATTTCAATTTACTTTTTTTCTTTTACCAGTTTTTTTCACTTTTCGCTTCATGTTTTTTTTTGTTGAGCCTGTTTATGCATGCCTTGATCAATGTCTGATAATATAAAAAACCAAACTTTTAAAATTCTTATCTCTGAAAAATTTCGCCAAATTTTAAAATTCCAAAGAGGAGAGGTACGTGGGGTGGAGGTTTTACGTGGTTTAGGACGAGTGGGACATAGGGGGTGAAAAAAAACTGGTCAAAAAGGCCCATTTTGCGCATTTTTTGGAAAATTACTAGAGATTGGCCTCTTCAAAAATAATATATTTTGGCCGCCCCTTTAACGTTTTCCTTCGATTTTTTCAAAAAAATATGCACAAATGAGAAAAAGTATTCACAAAATTCAATCCAATTTTATGGATGTTATCTACAAAACATAATGTTTTTATTGAAATGAAAAACGGATTATAACGATTATAATAGATATTAGAGAATTGTTTACTTTTCGAAAAAAATCGGTTAAATTGGATCAAAATTCCGTTACGTTGCCTGAATTTGCTACTCTAATAGATTACATAAAAAACGTTTTTGTCAAAATATCCTTTATAATTGATGTTTATCCATATCCATAAAATTTCAGTGCGGGTACGACAGGTATTCCAATTTGTACTATAATGCCATCAATAACTTGTAATAATCCTCTAAAATCTAAATTATTTATGATCCATTCTTCTCCTGATTAGCTAGTGATTACAAATAGAGTCAGTAAATTGTAGTCATCAGCGATGCAACGTTTTGGTGGTCGGCTATTATGGCGAAAAATACATTAAGCGAGAATAAAAGTGTTGAAATTAGGCGAAAAAATTGATAAAAATTTATACATTGTAATTAATTAATTGTATACATTTTAAACATTTAGTTTTGAAATTGACCAAAATTTTTGTTGTTTTTTCCCAACCGCAAATCGATTTTTCTATGGAATGAATTTTTTCCCAAAAAAAATTGCAGGCAAAATTTTGTTTTTTTTTTGTGTGCATAACGTAGTCCTGGATATACTAATTTCCTTTTTTTTTTTTGCTGTTTTTTTTTCTTTTCGCTTCATGTTTTTTTTTGTATAGCGTGTTTATGCAAACCTTGATCAATGTCTGATAATATAAAAAGTCAAACTTTTAAAATTATCATCTTTGAAAAATTTCGCCAAATTTAAAAGTCCAAAGGGGGAGGTATGTGGGCCGGAGGGTTTACGTGGTTTAGGACGAGGGGGACATAGGGGGTGAAAAAACCTGGTCAAAAAGGCCGTTTTTGCTCACTTTTTGGAAAACTACTAAATATTGGCCTCTTCAAAAATACTATATTTTGGCCGCTCAAAATTCCATTACGTTGTCTAAATTTGCTACTAACATGGATTTCATAGACAACATTTTTGTCAAAAATTTCCATTATAATCAATGATTATCCATGAAACTTCGGTGCGGGTACGACATGTATTCAGTTTTGTACTATACGGCTATCAATAACTTGTAATAATCCTCTAAAATCTAAATTATGTATAATCCTTCTCCTGATTAGCTAGCGATTACAAATACAGTCAGTGAATTGTGGCCATTGGCGGGCGGCTACTTTAGGCGAACATTATTTTAAGCGAGAATTAAAATTAGGCGAAAAATTTGTCAAAAAAGTGTACATTGTCATTAATTAATTGTATACATTTTAAACATTTGAATTTGACATTGCCCCAAATTTTGGTTGTTTTTTGTAAGCAAACGAATTTTTTCCAAAAAAAATTTGCATGCAAATTTTTTTGTTTGTTTGCATAACTTGGTCCTGGATACACTAATTTCCTTTTTTTCTTTTCGCTTCAAGTTTTTTTTGTATAGCGTGTTTATGCAAGCCTTGATCAAGGTCTGCTCATATAAAAAGTCAAATTTTTAAAATAATCAGCTTTGAAAAATTTCGCCAAATTTTAAAAGTTTGTTACTTTCCTTATCCCATTTGTGAAAGACAGGTATAAGACAACTTGGGTCGTTTTCTATGCATGCATTGTAAATACAAGACCGTCCAACCTTTGGTGCTTTGAGTAAATTAAGGTTTTGTCACTTGTGTTCGGTTACAAACACAAGCCAAAATTTTTCAGAAATTAAATTAAGAAACGAAAATCAGTTTTTTGGTTAATTGAAAAACACCTTTCACGCAATTTTCATGGAAAAATGCTTATCATGGAGATTTCATACAATTTTCTGTACGTATGGAATTGTTTGAAATTGTATGCCAAGAACTTTCTCATATATGAAAACTGTATGATAAGAAATTTTGGTCAACCCGGGTGCGTACTCACATCAGCTAAAAACTGAGGTTTTTACATTATGAAAAGTTTGTTGCACAAAATTTAAACTGAATCAAAAAATGGAATAATTGATTCTTCCCATGAGCCCCGTAGATTTAAAATTATTGTTCTAGCTCAAGAAACATTTATTCTATAAATCTTTATTTCCGCAATTGATTTAATTATTACTTAATTCTGGTAATCTACTGACACATCGGTTTACTGTACGCACCCCAGAAAGTTGATTTCCCTTGTAGATGTTTTACATGTTTTACATAAAGAAAGTATGTTTTTTTTGCTTTTTAATTTAAAAAATTCTATTTTCTTTTCTGTATCTGTTCAATGCTGATCTAATCTGCTTGCAAAAAAGTTTGTCAGGATAGTTTTTAGTTTGTTTTTCAAACCCAGCCTTTAAGTTTGTAAAAGCGTCGCATGTCTTCATCGTGAACCGATTTTCCACTGACGTTTGCGAAAATCCTCATCACTAAATCCATGCAGTGTTTCTCAATCAGAATATCCATGTATTTTTCCAGGATATTAATCCCACTAATCTTTCCCCACTCGCTCATGTGAAACTCCAGTCGGGGGTCACTTCCAGGGTCCGGGTTGTGTTTGGTCACCAGGTGCACAATCTCCCCGTGCAGGTAGGCGTCGTCGAAGCTGGAGTCTGATTGGTCGAATGGGTAGCGACAGTAGATGTCCACGGCACCTAGTGCAGATTAAAAAACAACACAACTCTTGACAGCTCTACAAGAATCGGACCTACCATATATAAAAATCGATTATAATTGAGTTTCATAGTCAGTGTCCACAAAAGTGAAAAAAATCAATTATAAATTAAAAATGAGTTATAATATTGCTATTTTCGAGGCAAAAAAAATCCATTTTTAATCCATTATGATTGATTATTTTTATTTTCTTGAATGGGGTAATTTATGACAAAATGTCGCCATTAGTATCCCAAAAAAAGTTGTAAAGCTTGCTAGTTGGTCAATTTGAGAGTTCAAGGTACAAAGGGAGACGTTTTTAAAGTAATTTATGAGTAGATTACGAAGCACAAGATTTAAGTTGAAGGGCAAAAGTCTGAAGGAAAAAAAAGTAAAAAAAAAGATACAGTTTCTTTGCTGATGACTTTGCTGTTTCGGCAATGCTCAAAATGAGTAGGCTTTTTTCTTACGGCAATTAAATGAAATTCAGGTGAAAAAAAAGACACAAAAAGCGGCATTGAAAAAGAAAAATACCCTTTAGCTTTTCCCGGGAAACTGCCAAAACAGCAAAACTATGGCAAACCGGCCAATAATGTACAGTAAATTATAAGGCTTCCGTTTCTTTGGATCAATGTCTGCCTTTTTAATTGTAAAATACTTTTTTAATTTTAAAATGTTTGTGTCGCGCTTTTGTTGTGAAGTTTGGCATGATAATCAAAGATTGCTCATCAAAATTTAAGTTCTTTCAAAAGGGGGCGCATTTAGCACGAGGGGTTTTTGGCTATCGTTTTAGATAGGTTAAAATGTTAGCTTCAAAACCCTTCAAACCGCCAAAAAGGCGTCTATCTGAAAGGGTTGACAACAATCACCTCATCAAAATAATCCTAGAACCGCAATGTTTATACACAGGCGCAGATCTAGGAATTTCTCGAGGAGGGGGCGGATTTTCCAAAAAAATTGAAAATTTTGTCGACTTTTTTTAGGTCGACCAAATTGATTTTCTCAGCTCTCCCAAATCAGTATAATGACCCTAATTTGACAAAATTTTCTGGGCCGCAGACTAATTTTTGGAAAAAGGCCAAGAAAGGCGTTTTTAGGCAATTTTTGAAAAATTTCGACCCACAAATCGCGTTTTTTTCGGCGCGCGCTCCCCCCTTCAAATTATTATAGATTGGCGCCAAGGCGCCTTTAGCAAAATTTTAGGGTCAGTCAGTCAAAAATTTATATCTCAAAATAGTTCAAAAGGGGGACTTTTTGGGTCGGCAAGGTGTGCCCTCCCCCCCCCCCCCCCTAAATCCGCTACTGCTTATACATATAACCGCAATTAGCGCATGAGCTCTTAACAGCGGAATAAACTGACCGATTGCACTGATTATGGATGTTACTGAACCTCAATGATTGATTCTGAACATCAATGAGTTTATTCTTTCATCGTTAGGAGTGGCCGCCTGTTTCATAAATGCTACTTTCCCAAAACGAGGTGCTCAATTTGTTTTTCGATTTTAAAGTCAAGCACAAGGTCAGTGCTTGACGAAAAAAAATGTCGAAATGGGTTGAGCGCAAAATCAAAACACAGCTCGAGCACGGCCATAACATATCGAAATTGGGTCATTCACTGTCGAAACATATTTCGATCACTCTAATTCGTTTTGCCCCCCCCCCTATTTAAAGAGTAATACCCAGGGGGTCTGTTTTGGAGATGAGGGATCCCGCTTCAATGTAAGCCTCGTGTAGTAGGGGTGACATTGTGAACACTTCTTCGTAGAAACTGCGTGCCAGTTCCAACTGTTTCAGATGGCCCATACATCTTGCAAGACCTAACAAAAAAATTGTCCTTTAAATAACATCCAAGCGAAATCCTTCAACAAAACTAACAAAAACTTACATAACCGTACATTTATAACAACCCCAAAGCAATGTATGACCGAATTGTTTTTTTTTTTACTACAGAACTAGATCTAGAAAGCTTGAAAAAAAGGAACCTTCAATTATTAATAATAATCAAATGAAAGGTCTATGGAGGGTCTATTTTATTTTAGGGTGAAATTTCCGATCAATTTACCAAATCGTCGCTTGTTCCGGGTTGTCACTTTAATATGAGCTGTCGCCTCACGCCATGTATCAAAGATATGTAAGGCTTAGGTACAAAAGTTTGAAATTAAATATCTATTGAATACTAAAAACTAAAATTAAATACTAAAACACAGTCTAACAAAACTAATACAGATCAAAAAAACATGAAAAAGCGTTGGCAAAAGCAAAAAATGATTGATCTTGAAAAGAATCCAAAAGTCAACCACATCAATTTTGAGCAAGATTTTCCTGAAAAACAAATGTCCAACAAGCAGCTAAGAAACTTTAGAACAAATCAGCGGAAAATTGATAAGAACAAAAATGCTCACCTAGCCGTGGCATATAGGATACTTCGTTTCCGGTGCGGTTTTTTTGAGGAACAGAAACTTCTGTGCTGCTCTTACTATTCCCAAACTCAACTGCGCTTTCGCTTCTATCGCCGCCAGCTCCACCTGGCGTTTCAGATTTTGGACTGAAGTTTTCTGTCTTTTGGGTATTATCTTTTTTAACCTGTGCAGTTTCGCAATTATGCTGATTCTTATTTGGCTGCGACATTGGTTTGGTTAAATTTGAACTCTCTGCAACTTTCGGGGCCGCGGAAGACCCGTTTGAAGTTGACTTTATTTTTGAAGAATTCGGCTGTGATAGTTTTCGGGTGTTTGAATTATTTGCAGCATTCTTCGCGGTGGCTTTCGACGAAGATTGAACCGGTTCTGACGTTTTACGTTGAACAGCTGGTTTGGCATTTTGAATTGGATTTGCAGGTGTTTTTGTTGAGTTTTGTTTGGAAATTGGAACTTTTCCTTTGGAGGTAGCCGGGCTGCTCTTGGAGTTTGTTTGTGCCTCTTGTGTCGATGAGTTCTTCCTGTTGGAGCCGGACTCGCGTTGATTTAGTTTTGAAAACCAGTTCTGTTGTGTTAGTTTTTCGTGCACCTCAGCATCATGATACTAAATGCGAGAAAAAGGAATCAGAGGATCATTAAATCATGAGTTAAAAAAACAATCATTATGATATTCACATGGTACTATTTATGAACTACTGGCGTTCAATCGATATAGTTTGATATAAAAATTCAGTTTCAAACTATTCTAATTTGATTTGAATAGGTTTTTGCTAATAGTTTAGTTTCGTTTTCATGCTGGTTTTAGTCACAAACAAAATCGATATAAACCAAATAAAGCCAAATATTATCCACTTTTTGTAAATTTAATTTAAGGAGTTTATATACAAATCATTTTCAGATTTCCCAGACAATCAAACAATAGAGAATAATTGAAATGAAATTTAACGTATGCTTTCGAATAAATTTTTTTTGATGTTTGGCTTGAAAATAATCATGAATATAATTAAGATGTTGAGAGTTTAATTGAAGTTTTAACTAAAATTAAAGTTTTTTATGAGTTTTACAACTATATGTCTTTTGCCCAAGAAAATTGAGCCGAAAGCGTTGATAATGAAAAGCGACCAAGTTTTTGTTACCGTGAGAAGCCTTAGATTTGTACAATTTGAAATGGAATCCCTTAAACGCTAAAACTCTATAGTTTTTAGTTTGCGGTAAAAAATCTCCTCAAGTGACTCTTGCTCTCGGTAAATCTGACGTAAAACTTTTTTGAGCACAGATTTTTGCTCAAGCTTTGAAACAGAAGGACTCTTTAATCAATTTTGTTGAGATTTTGATAAAATTCTTTTTCTTTCCAAAAATTCATTCAAATCGATTTAAAAGTCTTTTTAGGCAATAAAAGAGTTTTGGTTTTCAACCTAAGAATCCAATTGATCCAATCTGAATTGCTTTACGTACCTAAATTTGCTACCAAAAATCGTTTTTTCTATAATTTATTATCTGCACGCAAATTGATTGGTGTATTAGTGTGAGCTGCAAACCTTGTAAAATGGTAAATTTTACCTAAATTTTTATGTAATATTTGCATTTTTCTTGCATAATTGTCGCGCGGTTTTCATTCCAATTGCGAGAACAAAGCAAACTACTGCGTTCAATTAACTGATTTTCCAATTGGTTTTGCTCTTTTTGGTGCATTTGGTTTTGCTCTTTTTGGTACTGTTTCAGCAAGTCTTTTTAAATTTTTTCCCCGCATTACAATTATTACGAGGCCACACCTTGCACTAGTTAGGCGCACAATTTGCACAATGTGATAAGTTTTCGGAGCGATCTAGGAGAATGAAAAGACAAAAAAAAACAAAAAGCGAGTCTTTGTTGCGGAATCAGCTTACAATCCATAAAACACACAGTTTGGCCTCGTAATGATGATAAAAATTGTTCAACAAAAAGCTATTTTTTAAATTTCGAAATGATATATTAGATAACGCAGAGCAGTGTGCTGAAATATTGCAAAAGCCGCTAAAACTTATTACGCCTAATCTGACCAGAAGTTGTTATAAACTTGAAAACACTATAAATTCTTCCGATTGAGAGTACCGGTTAAATTTTTACGAATCATGAGACAATAAAAGCAAGGATAGTCAGTTACTGTGCAAGTAGCACAAAAAAATCCGAATATAGTTTTCAAAAAGCCACAAGAAAAAAATTATTATTTTTTTCAAATTAGTGCAGTTTCTTATGCAAGGTGTGATAAAAGGATCTAACGTAAAATTATAATTTAGGCATACTTGATCATAGTAAAATAGGCAAACAGGGCAACATTTTTTGATGGAAATGACTAGAAAAACAAAAACTATAAAAATAAATAACTTTAAAAAAATAATTTTTTCAATTTTTTCTGAAGAAAATTTGGAGTATTGAGTTTTTTGATTACCAAAATGGCATTAAAAATCTCTAAAAACTAATTTTAAACGAGTGTAATTTAAACAAATTACAAATAAGCTATTAAAAATTGCCTAAAATATGACGAAACTTAGACGAAAACTCAAAAACTTCAAATCGGTTTTTCTCGACACTAGAAAAAATGTTGAGAGTTTTCTAAATCTCGTTCGAATCACGACTGAAAGGGCTTTTGTTCTGATAAATCACTCAACCCAGTCGGATGATTTTTGGTGGAAACTGATTTTGCGTGGAAAAAAAAACGAAATTAAACTAAAACACATTCGAATACAAATTTCCTCCCCATTTTAAAAACGACCAAAAACAGAAACTCTCCTGCAACGTTTAATAAACCATGAGAAAATTCATTTCGGTCAACTTTTTTTTGGAAATGGTTGAGGGTAGGAAATGACTTGTTTCAGGTTTTAAACGTTTTTTTTTCAGGTATTTAAAATACAATTAACTTACAACTACGTAGAAATTCTGACACTTACTGTTATTTGCTAATAAAATATCCGTTTTTGAAAGTAATACAAACAAAGCTACTAAAAAATCTGACTTTTTCCTCTGTATTGATCTTTTAACTACCATGTTAAGACAAAAATTTCCGTCGATTTTCTACCTGGGCTTAAAGTTTCAATACCTCTACTCAAATTGAGCTTATGTAAGAACGTTTAATTGACCCGTGTTGAAATCCCAATGTTAATTATCGCTTTTTTTTAGTATCTAGTGATCGGTAATTTCCAACGCTGATTCATGTATAATGAAGAGTTTTTTGCATAGCTAAACCTGCGATAATTAACGGGGGGGTTTTTTTCTTCTCAGGTCCCCCTTTGTACTATTTTGAGATATCCATTTTTGGCTGATGCACCCTTAAAATTTTCTAAGGGCGCTTTTTGCGCCAAAGTATAATTATTTTTAAAGGGGAGTGCACGCCAAAAAAAAACACTTTTTTTGTTCAAAATTTTCCCAAAATGTGCAAAAAAAAACGCCATTTTTAGCTAAAATATTGCCTGCGGCGCGGAAAAATTTGGCCAAAACGGACTTTTTAGTGATTTGGGAGAGCTCAAAAAAATGTTGTCTAGAATGATCGATTATCGTGGCAAATTTAGACCACCCAATGGATTTTAATCCAATACAATTGACTCTTTTCAAAAACTCCATTCGGGGGTGTTTAATAGTTCTACCTGCTTGGACTCCAAATCAACACTGGCTTCGAAGGAGAGTTTGGCCGCCAGCAGACTGCTCTCTTTCTCGTGCACTTCGTACATGCCCAACTGGGCAAACCCTAAGAGGAACAGGAGTTTGGAGCAGTTGGGCGAATTCACCACTGCCACTCGACACACCTGTGCAGAAGAACAGGGGGACATCATGAACAAAAAAAAATATTTAGAACCTAATGACTTTAACTCAAATCAAACAATTATAAAATCGATTTTTGTATCGCATACGCGGTTTATTGCTTTGTTTTAACAATTATTTGGTTCAAAAATTTATTTGTCAAGTCCTCCAGAAAACAAACTGTGTAGTATAAATTGTTTTCTCGTGAAGACACCAATCGATAGGCTGTTTTTCGCGTTCGTTCAAGATAGTTTTTATAAAGATAAACTTGTGAGCTTTAAGCGAATTGTTCTTTTTTGATAACAAATTAAATTATTCTATCAAACAAAAATAGTCAATTACAGCAGGGCAAGCACAGAATTTTCCGACTAAAATAATTTCAGAAGAAATTATATTTAAAAAAGTTTGAAAAAACAACATGTGCTCGCCAATTCCATAGATGCTTGTTTCAGCAATTAGTGCGATATTATATACAAAATAGTTAAATTTTGAGATGAGGGAAAATTAACTTTACGCGTCTTTGAAGGTTTTGACGGCCTTGAAAAATGCTATAGTCATGCAAAAATTGCTTAAAACTGCTTATTGAAAGCGGCTGAAGCAACTGTAAATAATTTTTCTCGAGAGTAAAAAACCACCTCGAGCACAAATAATTTGTCACTTTCATCGAAACTCGGAATATTAAATAGATATGTTGTCCAACCTTTTCCATTAGAAGACTCAATTTGAATTCCTTCTTCAGATTAGAATGATGAATCAAAGATGCCAAATTGGAACACAGAAACTTCGTGATTTCTGATTGGCTATCATTCTTTTCACACGCATTGTCTAATTGTGATAATGATGACTCATTTTGTGGCTTCGATTCTGATTGGCTGACAGGTTTATTGATTGCTTTGATGTAGAGGTAGTAAGTTTTGAAAATGTGCCAAGTGATTCGGTGGTAATAGACGCTGTTTTTCCTCTGAATTTTACTTAGCCCGTTTTGCATGAGAAACAGTGATGATAGAATAATTTGGCAGCTGGATCGGTGTTTGAAGTGAACCAGTAACTTGCACAGTGCCCACAGACCTATATTTAAAAAAAGGATTTTTCTAACTTTTGAACGACCCAAACTTCCAATTCTTGAAACATGAAACCCAAGGGCGGATCAGGGGAGGGGATTCGACCCCCTCACCAACCAAAATTTCTCCCTGGTATTTTTTATGATATTCCATTTTAGGCCGACCAACCCTAAAATTTTTTTTTTCTAAAGGCGCCTTTGGCGTCAATATATACTAGTTTTGAAGGGGAGCAAGCGCCGAAAAAACGCAGTTTTTGATCAATGTTTTCCAAAAAAATCCCAAAAACGTTCATGTAACAAAAAACACTTACGATTACCACTGTACTTAAGCTAGTTTTAACCATATATAAACTCTCTTTCGTCATTTGACAAATCACCATTCGCCAATTCGGTGATCGCACCAAAGTCAATGCCCGATTCAGGGGTGAATGTCTTATTCGGCATTATTTCCAATATAAATTGAATATGAAAAGTGCCTCAACTCGAAAACAGAGCCAAGAAACAGATAGTCAAGAAAACAAAGCCAAAAAATGTCAATGAGCTAAGGGACAGCAAAAAAGTTTAAGTTTCGAGTTTGAAAGTACTTTTTGACTCCGTGGCATGATATACGCTTTAAATTTTTCAAGATTTTTAATTGCCCTACCCATTCCCCTCCCGCCCCCAATAAAGACCTTAGCGACATATTTCTTTTCTGGATTCTTGGAAGCAAGTTTTCACCTCTGACCACATTGATGTCATGTGTGATCCATTTCTTCTGACACTGAAGAATATCATTCCCCCCTTCCGACAAGGTCTTAATAGAGTCGGAGGCCAGGCCCACTCGGTTCAACTGGATCTCATTGAAGCCTCGCAGCAGAAAAACCAGCGCCACTTCGTAGCGACTTTTTTCTTTTCGCAGAACGATTGTCAGCCCCATGAAAAACTTGAACTCAATTGAACTCGGTCTGATTGAACTTGCAATTGAGAACTTCCTATTGGCTGAATTTAGATCGCCAATGAGTAAATCGCATTTTCCTGCTAGTAAAAACAAGTCTGCATTTTTCTGCTCTAGACCAATAGCGTCCTTGTATTTATCGCGACACTGTAAAAATGGGTCCTCCATGTTTTCAGAGGAGAATTTGGAGGCATTTCTCTCCTGTGCAGCCTTTTTGCTCTTCCACGAGTAGAGAAAGGCGAGGTAATCTGCACGGGAAAGTTTTCCCCACTCAAGAAGTTGATGGTATTCCTGAAACAATTTTAAACATTAGTTTCCAAAAGACGTCACTGCAAAATCAAATGCAGAAACGAGGATAGCCGGGGCACAACAGCCGTTGGCCGTGATGAGAGCTGTACAGCTCGTAACTTGGTCCTTTCTCTCGTGGATCAATGGTCTTAATTAAAAAAAAAGAAACAAGGATAGCCAGTTGTTGTGCAGGTAGCCCATTATGTTCCGACCATAATCATAAGAAAAAATAGAATTTTTAAAAACACATTTCCTCAACTTAGTGTCATTTTTGGTGGTAGATATGATTCGAGAACCATACGATCGCGTAGAAAGTAGTGAAGTAGGCTTGATCGACAACATTTGTTATTCAAAAATGAATGCACAAAAAACTTATAAAAGATAAAAATGGAAAAAATTTTACTTAATTTATTCCACAATAATTTTAAGATCAAAAGTTTTATCCTGAACGTCTAAAAACAGTGAATTTTTATATAACGAGCGTTACTCGTTCGCGTTACTTGCTTGATTTTTGAATAAATCTCAAAATTTAAGACCATTTTTTCTCGACTCTGGGATAGTTTTTTGAAAAATTTTGAAAATCGTTCGAGTTAAGACTGAAAAAGGTTTAATATGATATATCATTCGACCCATTCCGATAATTATTTGTGATACCTCATTTAAATGGTCGGAACAACAAAAAATTTTTGCAACAAAAACATAACTTAGAGATCGCCATAAGACTAAAAACAAGCCTGCTTTCATGCCCCTCAGGTTCTTGATATTTCTGAGGTTTTATTGTTGCAGCGCAAATATAAAACAATAGTACAAATGCATATAAACGTAAATGTGCGAAAGTATAAATGCATATAAATGTAAATGCATACAGGGACAGTAGCCAAGCGTATACATGGTGCGTCCCGGCGGGTTCGGCGCCGGTTCGAATCCCGACTAGGTCATTTCCTTTCTAGAACTCGAATGTGCACCGAACCTGATGGGATGCCCCGTAACCAGGTTCGGTCCCCCCAAAACCGATTTTAACCGTCTTTTCGCTCTAATTTGGTTCAGCCTTGATTAAGGCTGACCTTTAAAAAGAGCAATTTGTCTCAAGGACAAATACTGGCCATTTTTGCAGCTTGTTTTGATTTATGCAGTTTTTGTGGCCGATGTTACCGATGATAAAGTTTGTTAAAATTATCGTTATATTTTCAAATTTCCGTTATATTTCCGGAGTTATTTTGCCGAGAAAATACTCATTAATTAAATTGTTTAAAAACCGTTTTTTATATAATCTTGGAGATTGACGCGCACATTTTGGCGCCCCACAAGGGACACGACAGTTTCGCCGACACCAGTGCAAATAGAGTTTGAAGTTGTTCAGTTGGCAGAAGAGTCGGCAAAAAATTGTCTCGATTTGTACGAAAATATCAGCTAACAGAGGGCCGAAAGTGGGCGTTTGGCCGAAAGTGGGCGTTTTGCCGAAAGTGGGCGTTCGGCCTAAAATATCAGACTCAGATACCAGTTGGCCGAAATTGGGCCTTTGGCCGAAAATATCAGAAAGCAGTTTGGCCGAAAGTGGGCGTTTGGCCTAAAATATCAGATACCAGTTGGCCGAAAGTGGGCGTTTGGCCGAAAGTATCAGATAGCAGTTGGCCGAAAGTGGGCATTTGGCCGAAAGTGCACGTTTGGCCGAAAGTAAGCATAGCGTACCCAGTTGACCGACAGACGACATAGCAGACGGACGAAAAAGCAGACTGACTAGTGGAAGAGAGCCCTGTTCAGGTGTCCTGATTGTTGACTTTTGGTCAAAGTGGAGCTGTAATTTTCTCGACACCCGAAGTTTTTGGTTTTTCCCGGTGACGCCAATCTCCAAAACCGTCAAAAACTGTAAGACTAGTCTAATCTTTACAAACCATTCTTTGCAATAAAATTACGTACGATGTGTTATTGTGTATCCCAACTCAAAGCAAGCTACAAGTGGTAATTTTTTCTCGATACCAAAAATTTTTGGATATTTGTGAACAGAATATTAATCCGTGAAATCGGATCAAAGACAAGGGGTACTAGACTAGTTTTTTGGATTTGTTTACGACTCGAACCTGCTGACCAAAATTTTCCAAAAAATTTTTGGGAAAAAAGTAAAAATTTCCAAAAAAATTGTCGAAACGTCCCCATAATTCTGCGAAACTGTGCTGTAACATGACACCAACCTTATGGTAAGTGGTCTGGTAGCGAAATATCAGGCAAATTAAGTTGAGTTTTTTCATCCTCAGGTTTTTTCCGCGTGTGTTGTTGGAACTTAACCGATTTGCCTGATTCTCCAACCCCATTGGTAAACTTAAGGTTTACAACGACTTGATACCTGTTTGCATCCGTTCGCTTTTCAAAACATTCGTTTCGCAACGACTGACTAAGTGGTCCGGGACGGTAAAATTAAGCAAGTTAAGTTGTTGTCTTTCATCCTCAGGTTTGCTCCGCGTGTGTTGTTGGTTTTCAACCGACTTTCTTAATTCCCAAACCTCTTGGTAATTCGTCGAGCTACTAGCCGATTAGTAGTGACGCACCGTCGTACGACCGTTCAACAAATTTCGTACGCCGTAACATCATCCTAAGTGGTCAGGGAGGTGATATTAAGTAAGTTAAGTTGGTTTTATTCATCCTCAGGTTTACTCCGTGTGTGTTGTTTGATATCAACCGACTTACTTAATCCCCAGCCCCATTGGTAACTTTACTCACCGAAAACCGTTCCGAATCGCCCCGCAAACGCCCGATAACCGTTAAGTATAGTTTGAGTTAAGTATAGACCCTAGAGCCATGGATGAGAACTTTCAGAAGAGGGTTCAAAGGTTATTTGCGAAGCGAACCAAGCTTGAAAATGAACTGTACAAGTGCCATGAAATTATAATTGAGAACATTGAAAGTCAGAGTCGCTCATCAAAGATTGACACTCAGATTCAGAATTGCAAGAGCCTGATAGAGACTGCAGTTGAAATAAATGAGGAATTGATTAAGTAGCTTCTAAAAGTGTTGATCCTGATAAATTGATACCAGCGCAGGATATGTGGCTTCATACGGTTACATCAAGAAACGATACAGTTTTACAGAAGGCTGCATCATATAAAGCTGGCTTAAACGTTGAACCTGAGGAAACAGAGCTTGACAATGTTGCAGAATCGTTAAGTACGATCGTAACAACACAACCACAAGATTCACATGAAGCAGATGCGCGCTCTAAGGTGTCGCGGTACAGTAGTCGACATCATAAATCAGGTTCGCATAAATCCAGTCGCTATACCGTCGCGCAGTCAAAAACATCAACTGAGAAGAGGCGAGATTTGTTGGTTTTGAAGAAGCAGCAGGAGGAACTTGAGAGACAAGCAAAGGTGTCATTGAAGTTGAAAGCGCAGCAAAATAAAATAAAAGAACAGCAAGGTAATTTAGAGTTGGAAGAACTAGCTGAGGTACACCGCAAGAAACTGGCTGAAATTGAGTTAAAGGAATTCGAGTTGGAAGAAGAGCTTTCTGCAGCAAGTGAGCAGATAGGAAATGCTAGCGTAACACATGTTGACCCACAACGTACTGAACAATGGGTAGAAAACGTTGTCACTGAGCAAGATCAGGCCGAAGTTGTTGCAAGCTCAGAGCAAAGTCATCCAGTAGTCGAGAGTTCCACTTTGATTGCTACTGATGTTTTGCAAGGGGTTGGTGCCGTCGTCAGCGGGGGTGCCGTCGTCAACGCTGGTCAAACCACATACAGTGAACCGGGAGGCCACAATAGGAATCGAATTCAGGCTCAGAGATCAAGTTTGGTCCAATCGCGTCTGTCATTGCACTCAATCGAGAACCCATCTAGTTTACCACAGTTCGTTGCCTCCAGCTCAAACTTTGTTACTCCACACTTAGCTTCAACACCTCATGCTGAAGTTTCGCAAAATCACAATCTGATACCACAAGCAAGTGGTAGCATTCCCGCTTCAATGCCCTTTGGTAATCCCACCATTATTGTGGCATCGCCTTCTGTGTCGACCGTTACTAATCCAGTTTCGCTTCCGGCGAGTCAACCTTTTGTTCCTCCATTAACCGTTCCGATTCCCATTTCGCTTCCGATTATTCAACCATTTGTCCCGTCAACCGTTCCTATTCCCTCTTTGCTTCCGGTCAGTCAGCCACATTCCGGCCCCGTTTCAACTGGGTATCAGGCGCCTGCAGCGCCATCCCATCAACCCATAAATGTTCCAAACAACCCAACAAGTTTCTCAAGTGAACACTATAACCCGTATAGCAGTTTGTGGAGACCTGCCGCGACTGCGCAAACGATGCCAGTTCCTCAATACTGCGCACCGCCCTCAAACGTTTTCTCAGTGACAACTCCTGTTGTTCCACCAAACACCGTAGTTCCTTATACAAGTTTTGGGACTGTGTATTACACCCAGCCGCAAACTCATCCAGTTGTTGAAACAGCGCATCAAGGTTATCCACCTACATATCCTGCGCCCACTACGGGCCCGTCTTACGTGCCCAATAGCGAACAACCCATCTCGGCGAGAGAGTTAGCAGATATCATTCTGCATAGCCGCAAAGACCGTCTACCGGAGTTGAACTTGGAAGTGTTTGATGGAGAACCACTTAACTGGTATGAATGGTTCGGGCAGTTCCAAGCAATAGTTGATTCGGCTATGCTAACTGATGATGAAAAACTCAAATATCTGAAAACACACGTTAAAGACAAAGCCAAGAGTGCAATTGCGGAATACGGCTACAGTGGAGTGTTGTATAAGGATGCTCTAGCAACTCTCCAGAGAAAGTTTGGGCAACCTCATGTTGTAGTTGGTGCACATTTGGATAAGTTGAAGAATTTTCCCGCATTGAAGATGCACAACTCTGACCATGTTATAAGTTTTTCTGCGGTGATTTCTGGGCTCGTAGCTGTTTTTAGGTCTTTGTCGTTCAATGACGACTTGAAAAGTGTGAACCTATTAAATCAAGCCGTCAGTAAGCTTCCTCCAAATCTAAAAGAGGCATGG